TAGCTACGCCTCTGTGCATCGTGCAGGTAAATAGCTCCACTTTCTCTCCCCCCCCCCCACACACACACAACTGCGTGAATTTATGATCAAGCATAGACAATAATTGATTGTTAAGCTCGGTTCAAGCGAGCGGCAAGTTCGATAATTCAAATATTTGTTCAAAGGCTATTTAGTAATGAATAGAATTATCTCCCACATTTTATTTCTTCTTTCATTAAAAGAAATAAATGTTTTTTAATATAAAAAAAAATGTTATGAAGATCAGGGGATAATTTATTGTTGGAATTGACGATGCATGAATAAATTCATGGACATGTAGACTTACATGATTACCATGTTTCTGTTCACTGCTATCAGCGGAAACTTATAAACATTTATTTTTAATATAAGTTGACAGTCTTTTTACATGTGTAATTTTATTTCTGACAATTTCCTTTTCCAACAGGAACCCGGACATCAAAAGATGAGAACCTTTACGTAGTTTGCGTAGACAGCACACACAGAGAACCTGCACACTCGCACTGGTGGCGATTCAAATAAATGACGTTTTCTGGAGGTCCGCTACTCGATCGTCGCTCGTTCTCTGGTGATTACTGTTTTTGAGTGTTCAGAAATTAGCTTGTATTTTTTAGTAGTTGCCAGGGCGTACACGCACACTTGTGTTTTGCTCAATTATTTTTATTTTTTTTTGGATCAAATTCGTTAAAATAATAGGATTCCTCATTTGGGAAATGTTGTTTATTTGTTGTTACGCGACGAACAACTTTTTTTTCCCGGACACACTGATGCGTACCAATGGTTTAAGCGTTTGGCTCAAAGAGACAAAATTATTGAATCTGATACCGGGTCCGAGTAGCAACTTAATAATCAAATTATCATTTTTGTTTGCTGGTGGCGAAAGCGTTGAAAAAAAAATTGTAATAAATAATACGTTGTAACGAATCTTATGAGAGCGGTTGTTGTTTTTTTTTATCGTTCATTTTTCTTTCGCGACCAACCACCATTGACGTCATTAAGATATTTATTTGTAAAATGTTCGTGCTTTTTATAATTCCTTCTCAATATTCCACATTCTATTTTATATTTAAACAAGCCAGAATGTATCATATTTCAGAATGCGTAGATTAATAAGATGAGAAGAAAACTATTTTACCTCTAGCACCAAATTTAACAAAAACAATTTTACTGTTGTCTTAAAAACATTATTTCCAACTTTTTAAACCATTTCTTAATTTATTTATTTTTTTTCTTCATATTTATAGTTTCTGAAGTAATACGTGCCCATGGCCGTATCGGCACAGGTCAAAGTTCGCAAGATGGTCACGTTAGCTGCTGCATCGTCCCTCGTGTTTCTAATAGGTAAGTCAAGTTTTGTCGTTGTGACGTGACTAATCCAGATATGTGTGCATGCACATGCCCGTAGCGATCAGTTCGAGCTTACAACGAGTGGGTTATCTTATCCCGAGACATGCTTCACAATTTAATGTTAATTTTTTTTTTCTTCAAATGTTTTTAAAAAAATTAGTTTTAAATAATTTAATAAAAATAGCAACAATAAAATTTGATTGTAAAAAATAATTAAAAAAAAATGAGGGCTGAATTCTCTTTATGTCTTATGAATATGTCTTCAATAAGAATAAGTTTTTCGCAACCATAAACCTTTTACCCACAGTACAACAACTAACATTCGTAATAATTTGTTTAAACCCATAATTGTTTTAAAAAAAATGAAACATACACAAAATGGTGGGTTTTTTTTTAATCCTTAAACATAATTGTTTCACAGCAGTTTCACTACTTTACATGATGCCTCGTCTCTATACCTCCTTTGTTCCCTCGTCTCTATACCTCCTTTGTTCCCTCGTCTCTATACCTCCTTTGTTCCCTCGTCTCTATACCTCCTTTGTTCCCTCGTCTCTATACCTCCTTTGTTCCCTCGTCTCTATACCTCCTTTGTTCCCTCGTCTCTATACCTCCTTTGTTCCCTCGTCTCTATACCTCCTTTGTTCCCTCGTCTCTATACCTCCTTTGTTCCCTCGTCTCTATACCTCCTTTGTTTCTAAAAACCTACCTATAGGCTTGGCAAGATAAAACCGTTAGGTCTCAGCGAGGAAAGTAGAAATGAAAAATATACCATCAATGTAAACAGTTTATCGGTAATACAACACAGTGCCCCTGACTTCAGTACCCCTGACTTCAGTACCCCTGACTTCAGTGCCCCTGACTTCAGTACCCCTGACTTCAGTACCCCTGACTTCAGTGCCCCTGACTTCAGTACCCCTGACTTCAGTACCCCTGACTTCAGTACCCCTGACTTCAGTACCCCTGACTTCAGTACCCCTGACTTCAGTGCCCCCGACATCACTAGAAAAAGCTGACTCATTGGTTTTTAATATTTAACAAATTGTAAACAATGTGCCATGTCTGCGGTTCCCAAATTATTTTTGTTCCAGATAAATTATAACTTATCAAACTGGATCCCTCCACGTTAAAATAAAAAAAAAGGTTGCCAACCCCAAGAATAACCAGGCAGCCGTAGATGCAAATTAAAGCACAGATTTCGAACATGCTGGTTCATTCTACCTACCATTATGACACGAGAAGACGTACCGTGTTTAGAAGTGTGGGAGTTCATTGATAATTGTTGCGACTGAATGTTATGTCATCAAGCGCGGTGTGTGTTTGAGAGTTTTAATTGGTTAGTAGACGCTCTTCCCGCGCTTGATTCTGTGACGTATTTTTATGCTGATTGTGACGTATCGTGTAGACGGTATAGTGACGTAAGTTTTAGTCGTGCTGCAGTCTTGAGTGGAACTTTTTGGAAGTAGGATGTGTATTGTTTATGTCTGATAGCGAGCTGCCCTACATTCATGTGTTTATGTGTATAGTAAATACTTAGATATTAAAGTTATAATTATTATGAAAAGGACTTAAGTTTATTCAGTGATAGTAATAGTAAGAATAGTACGACCCATTCAACGTGTGAAAGAGCATGACAAATTAATCAATCCCGTAGAACAGCGGTTCTCAACCTTTCTAATGCCGCGACCCTTTAATACAGTTCCTCATGTTGTGGCGACCCCCAACCACAAAATTATTTTCGTTGATACTTCATAACCGTAGAGTATATGTATTTTCAGATGGTCTTAGGCGACCCCTGTGAAAGGGTCGTGTGACCCCCAAAGGGGTCGCGACCCACAGGTTGAGAACCGCTGCCGTAGAACATTTATAGGAGTTGACATTTAGTGATCCACCATAGTGTTAATAGCACGCGTGACGTCAACAGGACACATTTGATGACCTATAGACACAACTGTATTTAGCGCGAAATATAGTATTTGGATTTCTGCAGACTAACTTATTTCGTACGTTATAGATAATCATTGTTAAAAAGTAAATTGTAAAATATTCAAAGAACTTTTCTTTCCGGCGGTGGGGACGAGTAATTAAACACGTATGGATCAAGCTAGTAGCATGCTTTGATTCTACCACAACACAAGGTTTGAGCTTGAAACCTATCTAAATCCGTACTTTATTCTTACATTTTGCATTATGTATGCTGCTTGATGTAAACTAAGTAACCATTTAATTTAACTTTTCCCGACTCCGAGTCAGATAGTGATGACACTCCCTATTGAGACTAAATGGTTTTAATTTCTACAGTTGTTCTGAGCATGGTCAAGACTGCGGCGGCTTCCATAACAGACTTCTACGTCCTGCCGGATATCAGCGATAATGTCTATCTGTTGTCGAAATCCGACATGCCACATCTCATTACACATCCCATATGCGAGAACCATTCGGCGGATGTCGCCTTCTTTGAAACAAACAAAGAATTTAGTGCAGTCACTTCGTATCTGGACGGATTCCTGAAATCGACAAAAAGGACATCTCCAACAAATATCAAAGGGATCTGGATACATATGAAATGCAACCGTCATTATTCAACACAAGACGAATTTTTATGGGGAAATGAAACTATTGCAACATCTCTTTGGGCGGTTCAGCCAGGCCCTCAGTTTTGCGAAACATGTCAATCGTTTTGTTGTGGAAGAATAGGAGTAAATGACAGCTTGATGACCAACGGTCTCTGGTCCGAAGGAGATCTTTTAAAAAGCTTTTGGTTTCTTTGCAAGGTAACAAACGAATGCGCCTTTAACGAAACAAACAGATGTACGCACCTGTGCAGAGACGAGGCCAACGGCTACACCTGCTCGTGTAAACCTGGATACGCACTGACCAGCGACAACCACACCTGCGTGGACGTTGACGAGTGCAGCGGCACAAAGTCGTCACCAAAACCGTGTCAACACGAGTGTCGCAACAACAACGGATCCTACAAGTGTGCGTGTCACCCTGGTTACAAGTTAAACGCCGACCAATTTAGCTGTGCCGACGTCAACGAGTGTAACACGAGTGTCCACATGTGTCGTGACATCTGTAACAATTTGAATGGTTCGTATAACTGCAGCTGTCGTCCTGGTTTCGAGCTTGGCAATGATTCTAAAAGCTGTTTCGACGTCAACGAATGTAACACGAGTAACCACATGTGCGAGTATGCGTGTAACAATGTTAACGGTTCGTATTACTGCAGCTGCCCACCAGGCTTTTACCTTGGCAACGATTCAAAACGGTGCTTTGATGTCGACGAGTGTAACACATCAAATCCATGCGATCACATCTGTAGCAATGTCAACGGTTCCTATAACTGCAGCTGTCATTCTGGTTTTGAGTTGGGCAACAATTCGAAAAGCTGTTTTGACGTCGACGAATGTAACGTGTCGATGCCAGGCGATCACATCTGTAACGATGTTTACATTTCCTGTAACTGTACTTGCAAGCCTGGCTTTCGTCTCACCAGTGATGGCCGCAGTTGTGTTGATATTGATGAATGCAACACAACATTACATTTATGCAACCAAACATGTAACAACACATTAGGAAGTTACGAATGCACTTGTAAGGACGGCTACAAACTCTCGTCAGATCTCGTCACGTGTCAAGAAATTAACAAGTTCCATAACGTGAGTGTCAACTGTGAGCGAAACTGTACCATCAATGGCTCGTCTGTCCCGTGGACGTGCACGCCGGGATTCGTCCTTGACATCAATGACAACAAGACATGTCATGACGTCGATGAGTGCACCACTCAGCCGTGTAACCAAACGTGTCATAACACACCCGGATCGTTCACGTGCTCGTGTCACCCCGGTTTCATCCTCGACGACGATCTCGTGACTTGTCGGCAAAATGAAAACAATCACCAGTTATGCCCTTGCCAATGCTCAGATCTGACCCGTCAGAACTATGTTCCCCAAATGGTCCAGAACGAACATCACAGACATCTTATAGTGTCCAAGACCCATCTCTTGTCCTTCCGCTTGTCCAAGGGTTGCGCAGACGACAACCGCTTCTTAGCGAGGGCGATTGGTTGCAGCGGCTGTTTAATTGCCGTAGTGTTTGTATCCTCTTTTCTGGCAACAGATCTGATGACGGCTGGTCGAGTAGTTCTCAAATATTTTAAACACAGGACGCCACGCGTGGATAGAGATCGAATGTAGCCCGAGATTGGGTGTAGCCCGTGTTTGGGTGTAGCTCGTTGTTGGATGTATCTTAAGACTGAGTGTAGACCGTGATGGGTGAATACAGTGATGGCTGTATCCCATGATGGCTGTATCCCATGATGGCTGTATCCCATGATGGGTGTATCCCATGATGGGTGTAGTTGGTGATGGGTGTTAACCATGGTTGGGTTTAATTTATATTAATTTAGTTTGTAATCTAATTTTATCAGTGAAATAAATCGTGGAATGAGAGCATCAAAAATACCTGTTCATTGTGATTAGTATTCAATATTTGTATTGGTGTGTTTATTTCTAAAGGGAGACAACCCTGTAATTATAAACTAAAACCAAAGGTTTTTAACTTACTTCCCCTGCAATCCATGTTACTTTTAAAAGAAAGTATGTTCATATTTAATATAAATGTCAGTAAATATCCCTCAATGTATGCACCAGTTGCTTAAACAAAAAACAAATATAAATATATTAGGCACGTCCCTTACTTTATTCATATGAATTGTTTGCAACTTCTCTTACTTAGCACTATATAAGCATAAAGATTTAATAATGTTTACCAGCCCCGATACCCAGACATTTTTAAGACCTCTACATGCGTCATGGTGCTATTTGGGCATGTTTAAGTCAATGTCTTCATACTCACGACTTTACTTAGAAATATTTGGTGGCTGTAAGCTCAAAGTCGGAAAAAAATCCAAGCGGCAACGAAAAAAAAAAAAAAAATTTTTCTTAATGCACATCTTAATAAAACACACAATCTGCCTTTAAAAAATGTATGTGCAAATAGAATAATTGTTTGTTTTTTTGTAATTATCTGAAATAAAAAGAGATCAAATCATTAGCACGAGGAGGTTGGTGTGATATTCATAGGTGTTGGTTGGGGTTACAATTAAGGGGAGGGGAATGGTAGGGAGGTGAAATAGGAAGTGACATTTGGTTTACTCCTACAACAATAAATATGGTTTTCGACTTCATATTAAAACTATGGGTTTTAATTATGGGTTTTAATTATGGGTTTGAATTATGGGTTTTAATTATGGTTTTTAATTATGGTTTTTAATTATGTTTTTTAATTATGTTTTTTAATTATGGGTTTTAATTATGGGTTTTAATTATGGGTTTTAATTATGGGTTTTAATTATGGGTTTTAATTATGGGTTTTAATTATAAAGAATGCTGAGATGGACCCCCGTCCGCCCTCTTGGACACTCACGAGAGCTCAATATAGTTGTGCATTATTTTCTGTCCTTTGGGGGGGGGGGGGGGGGGGTGGGGAATGTTTTCCTATAATTAAAAAAAAAAAAAATGTGGGAGGAGGGGAGGGGGTTGGCAATGTTTGCCCCAAGTTAAAAAAAAAAAAAAAGTCTAGTCTAATACGCCTATGGGTCAAGGTTGATAAACAATTGTTAATGCAAAAAACATTAATAAAGGTTATTTTGCTTTTTGAAATAAACTGAATATCATTGTTTAAATCAGGGTGCGCTGAATAAAGAGATCTGTGACTTTCTATTAGAGCAATAACTTTGAACTTATGCAATTCCTTTCGGCTCCGGCTACAGAGAAATACGTCACGTGACCATGACACGAGACAAGATACAAGAAACAAAGAAACATGGCGTGTTTGGAAACGTATTGGCCTTTACGTTGGTATTGACTTGTATTGACTTGACGAGATGAATCAATGAAAATATACTTTCTGATAACTTAACTTAAGACGTTTCTGATGTAACTTTACATGCATTGTTTTCACTGTGCTTAACAACCTGTTACAATACATTTAAACAATGACATGTTTGTTGCTATTTACAAATCAACCGCATCATTGAAGAAAGGGTATACATTTTTTTTTAAAAATACATTTTAGCAATGAAATAATATTTCTGCTTTTATTTCTGTACACAGAAATGTGTACATAACCACACAACGCCATAACAGGTTGAGGGGGCGGTTCAGTGTGTACGCCGATTGCACATACATTATGATTTATTAATGACGCGTACAGAGATAACATAAGCCCAGTCAAGCAAAAAAAAACTCACCAGCACCCCGGGTAGATGGGACTCGTTAACCTTGGTCGGCAACTCATCAAAGAGAACGCAACTCTAAATTCAAAACCCTACAGGCGGCAAACATCAAAACAATGAACCATTCCGACAACCCCTGCGACGCCCACTGAGAGCGCAGTGAGCATGCTAAAATAGCTTGGATACTTAGCGCTATACAAGTATTCAATCAAATCAAAATCAAGATAATGGGATATGAGCACGTTAGATGTCAGTAGAAATATTTGCATATATTTAAATCACGATGCAGACTTTCCTGGATTAAATATAGAGAATTATTTCATTAGGTACATAGAGACATCGAAGACATGCGCAACACGGCCGATGGGACCATCGCCTGGATTACGATGTGACCCACGCCTGGATTACGATGTGACCCACGCCTGGATTATAGTTGTCGCTTTTGCAGACGCCTCCCCTCCTTTAAAATTAGCAAACTCAGTCCATTTTTTTACCACCTGCCCTCACCCCTTTCATCCATCCATCCATTCCTGTGGCCCTACAGCCCATGTAGGACTTTGGCCTGTCTCACCACTTCCTTCAACTCAGACCTATATATATAATTGATGCTTTTCTCTTCCATGCTTGGATTCCCAGCTGCTGTAGATCTTTTAAATCAATCTAAGCCTAGGTCTGCCTTTGAGCCGTTTTCATCTGGGGTTTGGTGATGCATCCTCTTCACTCCTCTGTCATTCGGCGTTCTTTCTAGCATGCCTTTTTTTCTGCTATGATATAGACCATATAGTCTATATAGACTACATATTTATCGTCTATAGCCCTCTCCCATTTCCCTAAACAAAATATGAACTCAACTTTACTACTTTCACATAATGGGTTATAAAAGTGCCGCAAATGATTAGGAAGTGTGGCATAAAAAACACAAAGTTGGTTCAGGTTGCTCTGACGAAAATGAACATTTCGTTGGAGGCTACATGCTATTATTCTATCACCCCGGGGGTTCAATCCCGGTCAGGGATTTTTAACCACCGCCCTTTCTTTCTCTCTACCATTCTTCTCTTCCGAGTGTTCACACAAAAACCATCATTCCCTCTTCTCTCCCTTTCCCCCCCCCCCCCCCCCCCATGATTAAGTTATAACCACTTGTGCCGTCTGATAACCGAACGCCACACCAATTCATTCATTCCCGCACAGACCCAGTTATCTGCTGAACCCACGAGTGAGTTTTGTCTGTTCTGCACGTAGTCAAATAACCGAAGATCGTGGCGAGGACTTTACCCAAACTAAAACGTTAGCAAACAACAATTGTGTAGGTCGTCTGTACAATTTTAGACATATTGATGGGTAAATGGCGTGAGTACAACAAAATTTCAATTAAATTTATTTTTAAAAACCAAGTGTACAAGAACCATACAATTAACGTACAAAACGAGCACGGAAACAAGGAGTCTGATTTAACTTTAAAAAATACACATGTACATTATAATTTTAAGAAAACAAATATGTTTTTAAAAATGTACCAACACATTTAATGTACATTGTTCTAAGGTCCCAATTCTTTCGTGACGTACTGAACATGTCTGTACACAACAAACCATGCGTCCATTAACCGCCCTCGACATACCATCAAAAATGTCAATACAAAGATCTGGAAATTCCAGTAAACCAAATATTGCAAAAGTTGTTGTAACGCAATGAGGTATTCCATACTTTTTGCAATTCATCCAGCGATACGTTATGAAATTCAGGGATCGATACTTCATACAACTTCATGATTGATACTTGATAGAATTCCAGCAACGATATTTTATACACGTGATTGAACGATACTTCAAACTCTAGGATCAATTTCATTAAGAAAGCTAAATAAAAAAAATAAAAAAATTATTTTCCACTCACAGGTCACGGGGTAGACAATGTGTGCAATTAACGGTGTGTGCATTTTGTCTATTTCAACAAATCGTGCATGTGTAACAGTGGCGTGACTATACGTTCATCAGCGGCTTTAGAGAAATAAAAAAAACTGTACTATCTTGCCCTTTCCCATGTGGCAACTATATCTAAATGATGATGATAGAGAGCTAGTCTGCAAAAGTAACTTACCGATATCATACAGCATATCATACATCTGTTGTTTGTTGTAAATACCTGATCTAATACATCTTTTGGCTGTTGGACATACATGATATCATACTTTTGTAGTTTGTTGTACAAATATGATATCATACACCTGTTGTTTATTTGATTTTAATATTTTATGATATTGTAAAGGTTATTTTTTTTTATTTTAAAACAATTATTTTCTACATTTTTTTTTTTTTTTTTTTAATTTTGTATTTAAATTTAAAGGGGAAATTTTTAAATAATTTAGGGGTTTTTAAAGTTTTTTTTTTTTTTTTTTTTTTTTTTTTTTTTTTTTTTTTTTTTTTTTTTTTTTTGTTTTTTTTTTTTTTTTTTTTTTTTTTTTTTTTTTTTTTTTTTTTTTTTTTTTTTTATTTTTTTTTTTTTTTTTTTTTTTTTTTTTTTTTTTTTTTTTTTTTTTTTTTTTTTTTTTTTTTTTTTTGGCAATCTTGGTTTGATTGCCATGTAGCCCATTACACACCAAACTTATGTCCCTGAATCTAGAAGGATGTCCATGCGGCAGGCTAGACAATTGTCCCAAAGGCCCAGTAGATGTCTACTTGGCCCACTATATAAATGTCCCAACAGCCGACAACACAGATGTTTTACGGCCAGCGAGGAAAAAACTGTCCTCAAATAGTTAAATCTGTAAACTCTGGCTTGACAGCACGGTCAGAAATGTGTCGGCTAAACTGTACACTCTGGTTGGACAGAACCACACAGAAATGGGTGGCTAAAGTGTAAACCCTGGTTTGAAATAATCACACAGAAATGTGTCGCTAAAGTTTAAAACCTGGTTTGAAATAACCACACAGAAATGTGTGGCTAAAGTGTAAACTCCGTCATGACAGCACCGTTCTGAAATGTGTGGCTAAAGTGTAAACTCCGTCTTGACAGAACCGGTCAGAAATGTGTGGCTAAAGTGTAAACTCCGTTTTGACAGAACCGGTCAGAAATGTGTGGCTAAAGACTCGCGAAGAACGTCCCAAAGAAAAACGGACAAATATTAGGCACTCACGTCTGTCAACACTCGGCAAGTCCTCATTGATTGACTGTCTCACAGATAAAGTGTGCTCGTTTCACAAGAGCTGTACCGCCAACATGTGCGTCTGACGCGGTCCGGGGAAAGGATGAGGAAAAGGTGGGGGGGTGTGTAGGGATTTCATTTTTGAAAAATTAAACTATTTTAGTGATTGCCGGATATCTTGATTTCCATGCCTATCTCTTATAAAGGTATTTTAGACTTCCTATTATAAGACAATTGATCGTTTGTTGGTTGTTATTTTTTGTTGTTTCGAGATAAGATAAGATTATTTATTAATCTGTCTTCGATAACATTGTACATAGTCATTTTTC